ACAGTCGGTCGATTACGCTCATTTGTTCTTGCTTTGGGAAACCAGTTCCTTCTTTTTTTCTCAGTTTTCCAAAGGGCTCAAGGTCACTGTGGTGAGCTGTAGGAAGTGGCGTAATTCATGAAACAGTCGAAATTCCGATGTGATCTCAGTCAGAAGGGGTTACCTAGATGGGGTTGTAATATTTATTAGCATCTAGCATAACTTAATGGTATTTCACTTACACTAAAATTGTTGCCTCTCGATAGAAATCCACCTGACCGCTTGCAAAATTCATCCTTGCCTACCGTTGCTACTTAAATGATGGGAATTTTTCTGTTGATATTGGACGCGCTTACAAATCTAAACGTATTTTATGCAAAGCATTCGCGAAAACGTTCTAAAACTTATTTTGTAGTAAAGTACATATTATTTAAGGTTTCCACTCGAAGAAAGGGTTATTTCGGCTTAAAAAGTTTTATTATTAGGATATTTTTAAGACCGCGAAATGTCTGTTCAAATGGAATTAAATCTACTCTCTTATTAATGCTAATTGTGAAGTTTGCGGTGTGTTCTATGTCCACTGTAAAGTGCCCACTCCTCTATGGTATCTTACTAATGGCACAGAGGAATATACGATTCTTCTTAAGTGTGCAGCCCGCAGTTTTGAAGCCCCAGACGCAAGTTCAACGGCAGGCTGTTTGCAGAATAATTCGTGAATTCAAAGAAATTTTAAAACCGAAAGGCACCCTTTCGTCAAGTAAAATGAAGAATACGTAATTTACTACGAAATGAATATATGAAAGGTTATTTGTGTGTTTGAATTTTATAAAATATATTTCAATTTATAAGAGCATCGTAAGTCAACCTAAAAACGCATCCTATTTAAGTAGTCATTTGTAGCAAGTATGACTTCGACAGGCTGCCGTAAAGATGCGCAGTCAAATGTCGGCTCCTGGCGTGATTGAAATATCATGAAATTGTGGTAATAAATAGTAAGCAATCTTTGCTGATCGAAATCGCATATCAGAATTTTGACTAATGATTCACGAGTTGCGCATGCCCAAACACTTGTTGGGTCTTTTTTCACGGCGGAACCGGACCGTAAATACAGTCGCTTGGGTTGGAAACGCATTGGGTTGCGAACACCGGCTATCACATGCTTTGCAATTTCGTGAGTGAAGTCAAGAAGGAACGCCCGACCTCGTTCAGCTGTGGTGCGTTCCGAGAAGTAATGGATAGCGCGTTGTGTTACTCGCCGGAGTGCTCGGCTCTTAGCACTCTTCCCTTGGTGGTGCCTATTAACCTCTTTCAAAATAGGAATTATTGTAATTACTATCTAGAATAGCTCTTCGCAAACTCTTCTTCCAGTGTTATCGAGTGTCTTAACCATTTGCTGCGCTTCGTTGTCAGTGTGTCAATTCTCTGAAAGTGATAGCTTTTTCTAGGCAGTCTGTTCTGCACAACCCCTCGGTTGGTTGTCTCACACTCTCTTACGCACGCACTATTTCCCCCCGCTTCTAGGCCTTCGAACTGGTTTCGCAGAGCTGCAGCACCTATAATGTCGAAGAATTCGAACAACTCATTCCATACAAGGACTCGCCAGCTGATGTTCAGGGAGAGTTGAAGGCTGACGCGGCTCAGGAGGCGGGAGAAGACATTGCTGGCCTTCTCCGAGAACGCGAGGAGCTGCTCATGCGCCTGCGAGACGTGGATACAGAATTAAATAGGTGTCGTTCAGCCTTCAATTCGGCTATTTGGGAACTAAATGACCTCAGTGCTCCCGTGGGGGACTGATGTAATCTATTCGCCGGAAGGATACATTTTTACTCAAACGCTGGCGGCTACGTTCTTATTGCTTTGTCGAGTCTGTACTGAGTCTGTTTGGGCGAAAACAGCGTCAGTGTCTTCGCGCGCGCCTAGTTCGACCTTCTAGTGATTTGTATCCAGGTAATTTACTGCTGAGGTGTTTAAAAAATCGGAAACTAGTGTCTGCTAGTCTTAAACTCCACGTTCGGATGAATGTTGAACCAGAAAGGGCGCTTACTTACTGCCGTGTCAAAATACCCTCACCAGATTGTACTGCCTTGCAGCGTGTGGTATTCCAGACCTCAGCCCTTAACGTCTGCCTGCCTGCGGTTGCGCATTCTTGGGAGTTGCAGGCTATTGCTTCGCTATCTTTCCATTACCATACGGACCAACCCATACTTAGACTGATAGATAGGGTTTTGTCTTCCAAGGGTTGGTGTCTATATGGTTTTTGGACTTTTAACTCGTATTCCCGACCCGCAGTTCGCAGGCCGTACTAGTCTGTCCTGTTTTTGTTTACGGGGGCAAAACTGGCGAAACATTCTTTTTTACTTGAAACGTAGTCCACGGTCCATGTCCAAGAAGTGACTGTACATGTCTACAGTCTTCGGGGGGAGGGGGCGTAGTACGGCCTAAATAACGGGAACGTCTGCGATGCTGACACACAACCGACAAGTGCGTGGGTCGGGACGGGTGAGTTCCGTGACGCGATTGGTGCGTTCCCCTCTACCATTGTTAATATGCCCGATCCCAACCGACAAGGTGAGCCCGTAGCTCAATTGTTAGGGTGTCAGACTTCTAACCGACAGGTCGCGAGTTCGAGCCTCGGGGCTGGGTATGGCTGGCTGATGACTGATAATAAGCCAGAAGGGGCCACTCCGGTCTCCCATGTCTTCGGTCGTGTTATGCACATGCCTGCCGACTGTCGGAACGACCTTTGACTGGATTGTCCTGGCAGAGGAAAAGAGACGGAACGCCGAAGGAGTTAGAAGGACGTGAAAGTTATCTTGACTGTTGAGTAGCATCGGACGGGACTATATGTCCGACTGACGAAATTTTGCCCAGCCTGCAATTGAGACGCACCCGGTCGCATTTTTCCCACACCGTCGCTACTGATGGTCCTCTTCCTTAGCACCTTTAGCAGTACCTTCCTACTAGCTTTGTGCAACTAGTAGTGCAGTAGCCTGAATAGCGTGACTTGCGGGTCTGGTTTACAGTCGACCATCGTCCCTCGGGCAATTTTTTCGACTCTTGCATTACCTACCGTTCGTAACCTGCCGATAACTCATTTTACCTGGAAAGATCACCGGTTATTTTCAATTCCTGTCAGTCTAGAACTGCGTACCTGGGTGCTTCTCATTGGAAAGTCCTTGACTTCTTGATGCTAATGTTCTGCTCGATTTTGTAAAGCTCTCAGATAGTGGAACGACTTGGCATCCTAACCGAACGTCGCCAGACCTCAGTTAACAACCACCAACACTTTGGCGACTGTACCCACACGTCCGTACTGCGTACAAGTTTGATCGACCACTTACGACTTCAATACATTACGGTTGGCGGGCGAATACCCAAAGCTCAGGCCGGCACTCGTCCTGTCAGCATTACTTGTCCAATACTCTGACCTGGCATTGATATGAACAAGAACCCGGTTCGGCTCCTCACACCACTACACCCGGCCTCACTTCGAATATCCGAGCGCGTCTCGGAAGCTTTCACAACGCCCTGACATCGCTTGCCAGCCGATGGGCCACCTCGATCTTTCTCTTACTGAGGCAGGCTGTACTGGCCCCCTCATTCCCCGTGACATTTTTGACTGTTATGGATTTGAAGGCTCCACTAAGACGGGGTACGCGTGGAGTTAGGAGCTAGGTCGTAGGCAGGCTGTTTGCCTTTTAGCCGCTGCGCCTATCCCTGTATCTGGTCATCCTGCGGTCTATCGGGGACAGTGGTAGCCTTCATCACTCGCGAAGAACTGTGGTGTCGTGGGTGGACACAGTGCAACAGTCAACATCACGAAGCCCTCATCAACCATCCAATTCTTTACTTTTCACTAGTGCACCTGGCCACTCAGCGGCCTACGAGTTCCTTTCATTTTCGAGGTTTGATGGCTACTTGGACGTTTCGCTAAACCGGAGCAAGACCCCGTAGGGGCCGCAATGGTCCGCTAGTCTGTGAGGATCTCCCTACTGGCCAGGGCGAGGTAGTGTAGAATTACCTTCCTCGCCTCACTAGTCTCTAACATATGGAGCTCTAGTAGAAACTCGGCATCTCCAACAGGGGTGCAGGCGACATACCCTCACAGCCGGCGTTTCGGGAATGATTATCGCGGCATCCTGGCCTAATTAAGGACAAAGTTACTTGCAATAGTTGCAGCAATTTGCAAAGTCTCCTGGTGGTCGGGCAACGATGATTGTAGTGGCTCAGGCGCAGCCTTGCACCGCTCCGAAATCTTGAGCCACTGGAAATGCTGGGACCAACAGTGGCTGCTGGCCACTGTTCGCGGGCCCGTCAGCATGTGCTGAACGCTGCATACCAAACCAGCTGTCAAACGCCCACGAAGTCACTGGCCTGGGATGGATCTAATCAGACACTTCAAAGACCGACCACGCCGATAACGATCACTGACGCCACAGTTGTCAGTACAGCAGAGAGAATATGGAGCAAGTGAAACAGTTGGTTCCTCACAAGGTAGGAATGACAAAGGCATTATTAATCGTACATTACGTTAGGGGAACCTTGGGCCATCAGAGGGGGGGGGGACTTGGATACCGAACATCACAGAATGGCGTAGTCACCGCGGCGGTCAACTGAAAATGAAATTGAGTGAAACAAAGAGGCGTCACCGGAGAATCGTTTTCGAAGAACAGAGCCACATCTTGTGGAATCTAACTTCCGATCCCATCATAGCTGGTATTGCTACCGGACGATTCACAGGCATAATAGGTGGCAGACGGTTAACGCGTAGTACAAGAGTATTTTTTACGCGCCCAAGTTAATACCAACACCCAACCGGTTGATCCGGCAAAATCGCGACAAGGGTGCAGGGTCTTTAGCAGTCTGTATAAGTAAGTGTCAGGGGGAGTGCGCACATTTAGCGGCAAGAGAAAACCAGTAACGATGTCAAATACAGGTGTGGAGTGAAGAGGGAGATTGCGGGCTTCGGGTCAGGCGATTGTACAGGTTGGTCAGCAGAACGGTCTGCTGTGTGGGTGCGATTAGACGAGCTTCTTGGCGAGGAAGAAGGAACGAAGATTGCGCATTTGGAAAATACCGGTAAATATCAGAAGGAGGATTTGGGCAATACTCCACCATGTTACGCGATTGTATATGCTCTCACTGAGGCGTCTAAAATACTCCTCACGGACCTGTTTAAAGGAAATAACAAGTGGATAGTTTTTCAACCTCGAATTTTGTAACAAGCTTTAAGAAGTAATGTGAGACTAAGGGTATGTTTACAATTTTTAAAGGGCCCAGAGGGAAATTAGCACAAAAACGTGTTCTATGGAATCTCGAAGGCAGACTGGAAAGCAGTGATGACTGACGTATTCTAACAGTGAGAAAGGGAGACTGGCGCTATTAGAAAGATATGCGGAACGGGCACAGAAGTCGACCGAATCTGCTTTTTATGGCATCCGTTTGTCAGAAGTCGTAGGACGTTTTGTGAACAATTGAATGCTGTTCGCCGTTCGATTGTGCTTATTTTTTAGTTTAACTGAAAATCATTGTTCGAGATTTCCAACCTTTTAGCTAAGGGTGCTTGTGAACAAGCCTCCAAACACCTCAATATGTTTCGTGTTTTCTAGCGGCCCATCGGATGTATTTCGTTGTTCTTGTATGAGAAAGATATAAGCTTAACCATGACAATCTACTTAATCTATCTTTTGTGTCGAGGTTTTCTGTGCGTTTAATTGACCTATATTTATTAAACACACCACTTTTGTTGCTACTATTCACATTAATAAATAGGTTTTTAACTTGGTTGCGAGTGATGCATCTGACCTTAAAATCGGCTTAATTTTCTTTGAATGTTAGCTTCGTGGAAATGAAAAAATCTAACCATGGGGTCCATAAGCGGTACAATGGGTGGCCTCAGAACGTTTCTTTAGTCTGTGTACAAACTGACTTACTCTCTGGAAGTCCTGATCCTTAGAAAGCATGGAAACTTGGTCCAGAAGTTGACGAACGCGGAGCTGGATGTCATTCAACTTTTCTCTGGTGGCGATTTCCTTGTAGTTAAGGGCATGGTCACCAACTGCCAGCTCGAGACTGACGCGCTAAGTCGTACAAATTAAAAAGGAAGAAACAACATACGAGAATCTGCTTCCCCACCCAGGAAGAAGAGTTGGATGACAAACAGATTTTGTGATCGCCAGGTATTTGAGATGTAAACGTAAATCGTCCCTCGGATGCGTACATCTAAAGGAAGAAACAAGATAGATTCAATCGTCACAGATGGCGCGTTTAGGAGGGTGGGAAGAAACCATATCAATAGGGAATATGGAATTCTTTTCAAAAAAGTGCACAGGTCTCCTCCCACTGCCAAAGTTTTAGCGGCTATTTGTAGTGACCCGAGGGCAGCCGCCGCAAGAGACGGGGCACTAATGCTCTCGGACATATACCTGGAAAAAATGAGAGAAGAGTATTCCGGCCAAAACCCCGAAGGGGCCGGAGTACTTCTTCGAGGATAATGATTAAGTTGGGCAGGAAGGGGCAAAATGATATTAAAAGGGAACACTGGTGCCACACACAAATGTTAAGCTTAGTCATACTTGGGTCATGAGTTCATGGAGGCCATACGAAGTTTCCCTGGCTTATAGGAGGCAACCCCCTCCGGTGCTACAGGGGACGTCGATGGTCGTGTTGAAGGCAATGGAGTGCCAAAACATAGGTTTCCTGCATGGTATAGCCAAAACGTCTAATTACGGGACCGAACCCTGTTTTCCCCGTATTATTATGGCTTACATAGGTTGTCGGGCTTCGAATTTTTACAAGCAAGATATAGTGCTTATGTCGCCCCAGTGTCCCTCAGTTGTTTATTGTTGGAAAGTGTAATAACGGAGCCAGGCTTCTGGAGATGAAATATAGTGTGTAGTCAGTTGGTGACTTCGGAAGTCATTCTTTGTTCCACAGTTGGGCTGACTTAGGTGCAGAGTTGACCGCATCTCGAGATAAACTTTTGCGAGGAACAAAGGCACGGACAAATTATTTTTCATGGAACTAGATTAAAAGTTGCCGATAGCACAATTTACTAATATGAGTGAACTAACAAACCTCGACGATAGCATTAAAGAAATTGACCACTGCGACGAAAACTAACGAACCTCACCACGCTTGTAGTGATTTTGTGAAGATAAGCAGATATGCCAGACAGTTGAGCAAACGACACCACAAAATTAACACAAATTGCGGCTTAGCGACTGTGCTGCAATGATAGCGTAACGGGGATGTTGTTTTCAAGCTAGTTAGCTTCCGATAGTGGGAATGTCGAGATTTTGGAGGAAACGTTGAAGGCATGCTGGTCGAATATATTTTAGTGTTGTTGCCAGACTCTTATGTTGATTAAGATCCTCATCTGGGCCAAACGTGTGGAAAATGTGTTGCAGGCCGGATGTCTCTGCTTTATTAATGTGAACAGCAAATTAAAAACAGGACTACAGTAAAGGCTAGTAAACTGCCTGCATACCTGGGGCAAAACTGTCAATAGTCAAAACTATTGTAAATGTCGCGACAGCACAAAACAATCAAAACTACAACAGTGATATAAATCACACTGTCAGTGCATTTACAATAAAACTAGGAGTAGAAGTCAAAGTGCGGTGAACAGAATCAGCTATATCGGCCCTATACAAAGCCGTCGCCATAACGGTTTCTTTTCATCATACGCATGCGATAAACACATATTCACAAGACCACAACAAGAGAGCTTGCTCTCATAATTAGCCTCTAGATGAATGTCAATTCCATAATAGATACATATCCGTACCCGAATTATTGTTCATTGCTGCGTTAAGTACCCTAACAGTCGCGCTTTCTGTGATACAAAATCGCGTTTACCTTTGGCTTTTTGCTGCGGGAAGGGCGATTTTTACACGGCAGGAAAAGACTTAAGTACATTTTTGCTGAAATATTAGATGGAGAAGGTCAACTAGAAGATATAGAACGCAGGTCCGCCACCGCAATTGCCGCATAGTGCCGTATCGCTATTATTCGATGTCGTCTCGGTAGCGACAATTTGGGCAGAATCTGCGCCTAGACGTCAAACCTTTCGTGACCTTCGATAGCGAGTCGCTGTTGCTAGTAGGAACCGCTGGTAGGGAATTAAACCGCTGTGTAGGCTCAAACTATACGTTAGAATCGAAAGGGCCTGAATTCGGATGATTAGATCTTGACATGCGCTATGGAGTGCAGGAACGAAGGCCCAATCTTTCTGATTTCAAAATACCACGGAAAAAGGTAAATTGCAAGACGTTACCAGTTTGAGCAGGAAATAAAGGGCTTACCCTAGACATCATAACATTGGATTCGGGGTCATAAACCGTAACGTGAATTCCTATGGCGCTGCTGTGGACGAATTCCTCCTGCTGAAGTAAAGCAACTTTGTATTTCCCTTTAGGCATGCAGAGATTACACAGAAACTACGGATTACCAGCAACTAAAGTATCCTCAGGAATTTCCTCTAGGAAACATTTAACATCCGTATCCTTGATATGGAAGTAAAATGCTGAAGACAAATCAATGCATATAACGAGCAAAAAGCTCAGAAGAACGGTCCCATCATTGATATGCATAGCTGACGTGTACCTAAACACAGATTACGAAAGTCGCACTTCTCCAGACAGCATTTTAAACAAGAGTTCCTGTTGCTTGAAGTTCCCAGTCCATAAAGTGTCTTTATTTGAGGATAAATAGACTCCTAAACAGCTCACTGTGCTTCGGTTAAATTTACATTAGTAAGAAACGAGTCAAGTTATGGGAGGGCTCTGTAGAGGTAAGCAATCTAGGATACCCAAAGATATCCTAAGAGGTTAAAGACGGCAGAATTTTCGATAACCAGTTGGATGTCACTCACACGCATATCTAGATGACTGTATTCTTTTACGCTTGGGTTTACTTCGTTTAGATTCAAGTGCGATCAACTGGTTTCGCAAACAGGTCGCCATGCCCTCTTCAGGCAGCCCTTAAAACAAATCGATAACCGGTTGTAAGGAATTTATCTGCCCAAATCTTGTGACGCACGGTTTAAGCAACATTTGGGGTTACGTGTAATGCCATGCGCGAGAGCTTTTGGATGTATTATTTGACGAGATAAAAATAGCAGTAACTATCTAATCGAAGAACGTAGTGCTTGCCAGTAACGGAAAACCACGAGATTTCGGGGAAGACAAGTGGCAGAACAAGAGTACGATCAGGTACGCTGCCGAATGAAAGTAACCAGATGAAGTGATAATGACAGTAAGCATAAGAGATGACCGCGGCAGCGAAATCGGATACAAGTCATGGAAAATAAGCAGGCAGCAGTAAAAAAATCTTTAGAAATTCAGCCGCAGAATTCAGGTAGGCGAAAAACCTCTATCAAAGCATAAAACTGCAAAATGGGTCAAAATTCACCTTTTGTGCCCATAATCGACAAAAAACATCAAGGGGCAGAGTTTGGTGGAAGGTTATATAGAAAATTGACGGCGTTGTGTTGCTGTGTGCAAACGGGTGGCTACATCTACGAAATCGGACCTCATCAACGGGCTTCCCTCCTCATTGCCTTGACCCCCGCGTAGAATCAAGCTCCTAGTGCACCAGTTGCCAATGTTCCATAAGCATTGCTTTTTAAAAGCTCATCTTTTGCATGGCATTGAGTTAAGAGTTAGCGGCGTAAATATTAAATAATAATAATAGTACTTATATTTAATGCCAGTTTGCAGGTATTGTCAGGGAAGATACAGCATGGATCGGGCTAACATGGAGGAAAAATTCCTTATTACTAAACACAGAGGGTGATGTTTTCGTAGGTTGGATGGATCAGGAGGAAAAAAAAACTGTTTCCCGAATACTGACGGTAGACCAGAAGGAGATGAGTTACACTGCCCCGGATATTTTCAACCTCAGTTCCTTTTCATGAAATTTGGACTGGACCGATCAGAGGCATCGAAGAACTGTAGCTCGCTGGCGGCTGAAGAAAATGTCGATGGTGAGACCGGCCGGAGGGATCACAGACAACGAACTCCATCAATACAGTAGATTAAATCGGTGGATTCAGCACCCAAAATTTGTGGCAGATTTTCTGACTTCAAAAGACGAGTTATGGTTCTCTTAGACAAAAAATCATTTTGCAAAATTTCCGCTATTCTGGGGAATGTGTGCCAAACTGCAAATGCGCTCACAAAAAAGAAACGACGATATTTAACGGATCGTGCCAGGGGAAGAAATAAAATGACTCCATGGTGACTATTATGTCATGGGTGGTCAATATGTTTTAAAGTAGTAAACGGGTTAAAAGACGATTGTTTAAAAGCCTAAACGGTAAAATAGTGCCTTATACATTCGACGAAACCACATGGGACCAAAGCCTGTAAGTCGACAACGTTTTTCGTTGGTCAATTATTAGCAGATCAAGGTTAAAACTCTCTAGGTAAAAACGTGTTGTACGGATTCTATTTTCTTTCGCTCAGCAGCACGCATGGTGCTAAGTAAAAACGAACAGTATTTCTAGGCCAGGTCTAACGTACATGTTATAAAGGCGCATTTCAATATCGCTGGTTTTAAAGTTTCGGAGAATAAACCCGGTCGTTCTATGCGCTCTGGAGACTATCAGGGCTCATTGCACCGAAAGATTAGGACTCTAGGCGTATGATAAACTCAGATTCCTAATAACCCTAGGCACATTTATGGCGTGACCTTCAATACTTAGTTGAAGTTGGTGGTCGTCGCCAACCACCATGACTGAGCACTTATGCCAGGGAAGAGATAGGCGCCATGTGTTGCACCGCTGGGCGAAAGCCAGTAGATCGCTCTTTAGGATCTCAACGACGATGTCATGATCTGCCGGCTTATATCGATATGCAACTTTCAGATCATCGGCACACATAAAGGGCTTACCATTCTGAAATATATCTGGTACATCGTTAACAAAAAGGCAAAATAATAGCCGGCCGATTACACTACCCTGAATGACTCCACTCCTCAAACCTGTGGGGTTGACGATAGCATTGGAAATCTTAACTAGTTGTGTGCGACCACCCAGGTAAGAGGATATAAAATTCAGAAGTTTGCCACCTATTCCGAAAAAGCAAAGTTTCAAGAGAGAAGATAAGAGTGGTCCACACGATCAAAAACATTGACGAAGTCGAAATAGACTGTGTAAAGTGTGAAGCCCTTGTCCCTAGATTGGGGAACATGGTCAAAGAAAGAAAGCTGACAGGTGTAACAAGACCGAGCTTTGAATAATCTATGCTGAGCAGCATCCTGCAGGTTATTCTCTGTTAAATGGCACATCATCTCCTCTTTTATCGATGTCTCTAGGATTTTAAAAAACTGCGGGGAGGGTGATTATTAGACGAAATTCGTCAAATGACGGAGAGTGATCGTGCTTGGGGATAGGCAAAATGTGTGATTCCTTCCACAAAGTAGGATAGGTTTTACTTTCAAGAGCGAGATCAAATAAATTGCGGAAGTGGGATGGGAAAATTACATCGGTATCTGCTTTTGGGATGCTAACTGGGACACCATCAGGTCCGGGGCTACGAGATTGACGAAAACGCCGAATCGCAATAGCCACATCCCACAGAGTAAAAGCTATAGTTTCGAGAACTGCTCTGGTCTATACCTGGATGGTCGAAAGCGGAGTGGTCGAGTTTTGAATTAACTTACTGGACTGTAAAGCATTAAAACTATCAGCGGTCAAGTGGGCATCAGCTATAGGATTCCTAAGAGCGTCTCCGAGGGTGGAATGCCGCGTTTTTCTGTGAGTTCGTACTTTTCGGGAGAGAAGTTTCAAAAGATTTAACGAGAGGTCTTCGGTGAATTGGGCCTATTTGGCTAGCTGTTTTTCTTGGGACAAGCTCTTAGCTTGCTCAAGAATAGCACAAATCGAAACATCGTTCTGAAGATGGAATCGACGAGAATGTCTGCGCAACCTGCGGCGAAAGGGTAAGGGTAGGAAAACCTCACCCTCGACATTAATTATTTTCTTACTGGGGACAAAACGAGAAATAAGCGGATCCAAAATTCCGTACAGTTTATTAGTGCAGAAATTTACATCCGAACTTAGGAGAAACTCAGCACAATCTTGGGCATTAAGGTGTGTTAATAAATTGATCGAGCAAGGTGATCGGAAATCGAGGAAGAGCCTATATTTTGGGGACATGTATGTAATTAATCAGTCTTTGGCCATGGTAGACGCGGAGCACGCAACAGGTTCTTCTGCGCCCACAGAACCGGCTTCCGTAGCCAGATGGCAATCCCTTCTGCAGTTGCTAGTAAGCGCAGACCCAGTTTTAGGTTGGTTAGGTGCGGAATGCTTACAAGAGATCCCCGTGAAGTTGCCTGTAACTCAAATGGAAGAGGTTTACTTTTACTAGGCGGGTTGCATAAAAAAAGAAGTTTTGTCAACTAACCTTCTTCATGGCCCCCCTCTGAACTCTTTTGAGGCAGTTTTAATCTTCAACAGCCCACGGTCTCCAGGCTTGTATGCCGTACTCCGAGTGCGGCTGGACGAATGTTCCGAAAGTCTTGGAGAAAGCGTCTTCGTAAAATCCATAAATGTACGCTTGATGGCGCACAGTACGGACCTTGTGCTTTTTGCCACTCTCGAACAAGGAGTGGATGGTTTCAGGGAATTCGTCGTCAGCACACCAAGCTCCTTTTGGGCTTCGATTTCTCGAAAAGTTGCGGCGCTCAAAAAGTAGTCTCTTGCGCTGGCCGTTCTGGCTGTGTTGCCTAGGTGAATTATGCCACATTTACCAACGTTGAACCGCGGGAGCCGACGGTTTGACCACTCCTTCAACCGCTTTAGGCTCATCCGCAGTCTGTCTTCGTCGGCAGTATCCCGGATTGCACTCCATATTTTCGTGTCATCGGCAAACATTGCCGATTCGCAGTCCAAAGCTCTTGCGGCAGCGTCCACGTATATAAGGAATAAAATGGGCTGCAGTACTGCACCCTGGGGACACCACTCTCGACCACATCAGGATCTGATTTCCCTCGTCCGATGCACACAACCTGGTGTTGACCCACAACGCAGTTTTCGATCCATCTGAGGAAGTTGCCGCATATCCCTATTTTTTCAGTTTGTGTAACAGCCTCTGATGTGGCACAGTGTCGAACGCCTTCTGGAAGTCAATGAAAGCTATCTGGACCGCGTGCCTGTGGTCGAGACCCCGTGCCCAGATCTGAAGAGGCTGCAGCAAGTTTGTCATGCAGGATCTTCCTTTCCAGAACCCATGCTGGCATTTCGATAGCAGGTCATGAACTTCCATGAGATGCATCAATTCACTCTTTATGATTCTCTCCATAACTTTGCACAGAATGCATGTCGAGCTTATGGGCCTGTAATTTGTCGTCGATGCCCTGCTACCTCCTTTGTATAGTGGAATAATATGTGCCAGCTTCCGATCGATAAGAAGTGTTCCAGTGTCAAATGACGTTTGAAAGAGCATCGACAAAGGCACAGAAAGCTGACTGGCGAGTTCCTTAAGAACCTTGCGTGAAATCTCGTCTGGTCCCGGAGACCTGAATTTGTTCAATGCTTTTAGTTCTCTTCGGACAGTGCCTTCTGAGAAGAGTATCTAACTGAGGCTTGGAGTCGGCAGTTCTTCTGCGGATTAAGGAAGGAACCTTGCCTCGTTTGTGTAGACTAATTGGAAGAACTGTGAAAAATACGCAGCTTTATCCCCACTATCAGCAATCTCAACTCCATCAGCAGTCCTCTTTAAGGGACTTTCATGTCTGTTACTTGTACTTCGTCGGAGGTAGCTGTAGAGTTATTTTAGGTTCTTCGTTACTCTTTGTAGCAAATCCTTCTCGAAATTCCGCCGCGTTTTTAAAATCAATTTTTTTCAGTTTGTTCCTCTGTGTCTTGTAGATGTTGAAATATTTAATTTGCCAATGACGCAGTATTTTTTCCACAATTTGTGTTTCCTGTTGATGTCTTTCCTTAGGTCGCTAGTTAGCCTCCCAGGCCGCTTGTCCTGTCTTATACTCGTCAGTGGGCAGTGGATGTTGATGAGCTGCAGAAGGACGTTATTGAACAACTCCCAGTCATCGTTGGCATTACCCGTAAACAATGACCCCATTCGAGACCGGATAAGTCTGCCCGCATCTCGCCGAAGTCGTACCGCCAAACATTGCGTCTTTTTTGGTCTGGAGTATGCGAGATGGAGAATAACGAATAATCCTACAGAAGCGCTACATGGTCATGTCGGCCAATGGGCGGCATGGAGGAGATCTCGTCTGTGCTGTCTGGTGTTTTCGTAAAAACCAGATCCAGGCAGTTCGCCCTCTGTCCTTCACGTGCTCTCGTTGGAAACACTACATGCTATGTGAGGGACTCCTTTAATGTTTTGTTCAGCAGACGGTACTCGAATGGCGATTTCGGACCTGACACTTGAAGGGTGTTCCAGTTGATTCCTCTTGCGTTGCAGTCGCCCATGATCATGCTGTCAGATCAACCGGAAAATTTCTCCAACTGCTCCAAAAGACAAGTATCGACGATTTGGTCTGTCCTAGGTGGTCGGTAGACAGTGAGGACATCGAGATACGAGGAACCAGTAGCTTTGATTGTCAACCAAAGAGCATCCCTGATGCACGCAAACTTGGCGATGTTTTCTGAAACTGTCAGGTTTTCATTCACATACACAACGATGTCACCACACTGACAATATACCCTGTCCCTCCGATAAATTTGGTATCCAGGCAAGGTTATTTTACTACCGCCAATATTCCCGGACAGCCAGGTCTCGGTTACTGCTAAAACCTCCGGAGACCGTTCGGTAGGCAAAGTTTTAGCTCGCCTAGTTTTGATATGAGGCTTTGAGTAGTCGTATACAAACACCCTCATTTTTGCGCCAGCCGAATTTCCGCCTGCATTTGTCACTGTTTTGAGCATTACAGCGTTATCATTCATCAGTTACAGTGTTAAATCCTATCCGCGTTGTTAAAAACCCTTAAAGACCTGTTTACTATTATCTCAGGGCGCAGCAGTTTCAAGACGAGTTTTAATATCAGAATTTTAGGCCGTTGGCACCTATGAGTCCTGAGTCCGAGTGGCCAGTGCTAAACACCTCGAAGTGTCAATAGCCCGAAAGCACACAAACGCGTGCCAGGTGAATGGATGACAGAAGTACTTAATATATCAATTTTTTATTTAATAGAAATTCCAGGATTCTTCTATGACGAGACATGCGATCGCTATTTTAAAATTGAAAAGAATAATGCGGCCTCCCACTTGAGCGCATCATCTGTGACTGATCGAAAATTAATAGAAGCCAGTGAAGCACGCCTTACTAAGCTTCCGACATATACTGCTATACAGCTTACCCAAGAATATAATGAAAGGATTTCTGGCCACGTTCAATTGCCTCGTGCAGCAACAGCATTATCCGCTTATCCTGGTAAGGTGCGTTCGTCATAACGTACATGTTAGGCTATATAGCCTGGGACGACATCTCGAATGATTTATGCAGACCTGTTTAGGATTCATATCTACTGTGCAGTAGGTCGCTTTGATCTTATTTGATTGGGCCTTGGCTCCTTTCCTCTACATATTTAGACAGTTAACTATTCGGCCACTGCTTACCTTCTTACCTTTTTTGTCAATGCTTTTCCCATCTGAGGGTAAAGTTTACAAGTGCAATCCACATAGTTACTCGGTTTTATAGCTTCAGTAGCGTGGCACAGCAAATATATATTTGCTATTATTCACTGTAGGTTAGTCCCACTCTCTAGACCGACCATTAACGTTTGCCATTGCGTGTAGTTGTCAGTAAGCCATTGGAGTAATGCAACTGTTCTCACCTACAGGCGTTAAACATCGTCAGACCGTTCGTTACGGCAATTTGTTTTGTCGACTTTCCTGCAGATTTCGTTTTCGATCGTTTGCTGTGTAGACGGTGTTGACGAAGATTACCGCTGCCATCAGGGTATGTTGTCCCTCACTCGCTGTACGAATTCTTATTCATAGCAACCTCCGTCACTTGTCTAGTGTTCGGCCCGTCGCTCTAAGAGGATGGATGCGCTCTGCCATCCCACTTATCTACGTTATAGATCAGACTAATAAGTTTTGCATGTGGGGTTTATGGTGTTGAATTTACGCCTGGACACCGACTTATCACAGTCGATTGCGCCGACACTGCCGTCCCTTTGTCAGGCCATATCGACCTAAAGGTGTGGTTTCTTGGTTAAGTGGGATCATAAATTAACTAGCTTACACGCCAACGGTGTAAAAGCGACGTTTTCGAACCGAATGCTTGACTCGGAGATTGTTTGGAATACACGCAGCTGTATTTCGGGGCCACTGTCTGACAATCAGACTGAGTAGAAATGGCACAGTCGTCTGAAATTATGCTGTTGAGCAAAATTCTCTCACGGCCTGAAAGGTGCGTGTGCTCTTCGCATATTTCTGTCGCCAAGTGTATCCCCGTACACTGCAGCGTCGGTCCTTTCCGCCCGCTCTACTTTTGAAAATGTCGGGCTGTGTGGGTAGGGGAACATCAAATGCTTTCAAATACTGCTCTCCAAGGACGTTCTCCAGAGTCGACCTCACTCTTCTCTTTCCCAGGAACCAGTCAACTGTCCGAGCGGTGATTGGGCGCAAATGACTGACCATAGCTATGTAGTCCGTCTGTGAGTGTCACACACGACCTGTCCCCACAGAGTACCTGGCTTTCACACAGAGGGTTGGGCGACCCAGATCTCGGATGCCTCACAGTACCATAGCGGCCACATTTAAAATGAGCCAAAGAACACGCTTTTCACTTGCGTGTGAGGCGCCTGTTCCGAGCCTATGGTAGGCGGTGTTGGACAGGTACGTGTGTTGTGTATGGGGGTGGTGGAGGGCGTGTGATGATGGGGTTTGGTCTGAAATGCTCTACCGAAAGTTTCCCTAGAGGCGCACATGACCTTATAGGTCTAGACGGTGACTTAATGTGTGTGTGGGCAGTGCGAGACATACACGCTGTATATTGCTGTTTTTACGTAAAGTGACTAAGTGACAGTTTGTCCGTAACACGGAGGTAGGCTGACAGCTAAAGCTCCAACTGTACTTGACCTTGGTTATACTCTCCCTAGAGCGCTATATCCTCGCCCGAATAGCCAATGCTAGACATCGTCAACGCATTCCTCTGGACAATGCGATCGCCCGTCCAACCGTTTTGGACTCACATGGCGGCACGCGGATTCACGTGATAGACTCCAGGTTTCCTTCTACTGGCCTCCGACAGTACCGCGTTTGTTGGAGCGGCAAAGTTGCAAGGAAGGTTTTTAAGCGGTCCATGCGCTGGCGTTTTTCCATCTCCAGCTGTCCTCGCTCATACGACGGTCCAAACTGCCATGGATGTAATGATGCAACCTGGCTAATACCTGGCAGGAAGCTAGCCTGCGTATCGCCCGATTCGCTCTCCTTTTTAAAATGCTCAGGTAGGTGTGCATAATCTGTTCTTCGCTCCATATTTCGTTTGCAGTCAGGTTATAAATTACTCGGATTTATTAGGAAGGACGGAATTTGATTCGATCGAAGACGGAGTACATGTGGTCGGGTATACCCATTCCAAAGCCCCACTCATCCGAATTTAGCGGGAAAAGGGACAGATAAGACGGTTGGACACACGAGCTCACTCCTTACCGCCACCCTCAGTTGCCATGATGCTTACCTTCTGGAGTAACTAGATGAAATTCCTTCTCTTAAATTAGCCATTCTCGGTTAATATTCTTGTGCCAGTTAAAGGCGTCCCCTTGTAAGCGGGACAATCAGTTGACTACCACCAGCCTCAACCGGTGACCGACTATGCAGCCCACACTATCCAGCCAGGTTAGCTGTACACTCACGCAACGGACTTCCTTTTGGCAATAGAAATCTAATTTCCAGGTATAATTCCAGAGACCTTCACTTGGCGGTGTATAGTTTGATTTTTCGTACAAACAGTCTGGCTGCCCAGCTTAAATGAGTGGGGCGTTATATACATAGCTCGCTTTGTCAGATGCGCCAACGACACCTTTTGCGCAAACTGCCAATACCGGGAGTTAATCTTGAATCTGCCTGACGGTACTGAGTGCCAGACCTCTTTATCGGCGAATTTTCTGGGCTGAATGGTCACATGTCTTATCTGGCCTCCCCGTAGGTTTGGTCTTTTGCCAAGTAATGATCCAAGGGTGCGCAGGCCGACGTGGCGGCCGAGGAAGTGTTCGTTTTACAGCTTTGCTGTGCACTTTTCGTCCCGGCCTACCGTTGCTGTCACGCACTCGTCTTCATGTCCCACTTTAACAGGTTTAATCCCAATCCTACTGGTTAGTTCTCGCACATCCTCTGCTTAAAGTGGCGATGACTGAGGAGTAGTCCCCAAACCCACCTTTGACATTTAGATTGAATTATGTGCAAGACTGACGCTTGTAGTCAAGACGCCTTCTCTTACTTTAGGCACGGGCTACGAGCTGCTAGAAAGTGTCCACCTCCGGCGTCTTAATAATCCACGATTTGCACAGTCGGCTGTCGTCCGGCATGCTTGTAACCTCATCGGCGAAACGGGGCCTGCCCAAAAACACAAGAGGGAGATAGAGACAGCCACAGAAACGCCGGTCTTCTTCACGAACCAGAAAATCATAATCTACGATGGTCTGGTGCGCCATCTTTTGTCAGCAAACACTACCATCAGTGCTGTAACAAACGCGGGGCGTCGTCGACAATGGCTTCTCAGCCCTGGCTCTCGTTTCACAGCCCTTGCGAAGACCGAGTACCGGCCAGTGGGCGAGACCTCCAGCATCTCAGTCTACATTGGCTCATACTCGGAGTCCGGCGGTGGCCGATTCGGTCTATTTTCGCTAGAACAGGCACCGCGGCTGCAGGAGCTCATCCGTTTCTCGCCCACAGTGGCCGGTGAGATAACTAGCATGCAGTGCCTCCTCACCTCTGCCGGTGATCGATACGGCCTCCTAGTCGGCAGGCGAAACGGTCTGGTGGAACTATGGGAGGACCGATGGCCGGCCGGGCCCGCGGTCACCTACTGGGGCTCAGACAGCGGTTGCCTCATATCTTCCAGCTCCCCAATTCCACCACAACCGGCGGTAGAGGTGCCTCACCACACCAGTCTTGCGGCGCCCATTCTGGGGCACGCGAAGATTGGTCTCTGGGAGCTGAAAACAGGCCGGCTGATGCGTATGCTGTCCTACGCGGTGGGGGGAGAAGGGGAGGAGGCTGCGGAGGATTCCCTTTCAGCGCCTCCGCCGCTTCTCCTCCTGAAGTCCGAGTGGGGCAATGACGCCGATCGCATGCCCACACGTGGACCAGCCCTCCTCTCCATTAATCTTAACCACAGCAATTGGTTTTACGATTAGATAAGATCCCTGCTTCGCGCCCTACCTCTCTGTATATATTTTTGCACCAAAAATCACGTGAAAATGTTGTATTTGTGTACCTTTTTTCCTAGAAAATACAATCGCATGACTGAGTGAAAGACAAAGGGACCGGAGATTGGCCGCAGCTTCTAAGCAAGGTTGGCCTTCGCGGAGGTGTGGATCAATGGGTCCAGTTTGTCTAAAGGGGTGAAAGCCCACATGAGAACTCAACGACAAGAAGGGTATAGTGTTTAGTTATAATGAATGCTAACGAGGCGAAAAAAGCTTGGCTATATGACCATTTGTGCCCATTGCGCAAAAATTGCAGTAGCTTAGCCTTTCTGAGTAACGTCGGTAATTTAGGTCCCCACAAAGCAGGGTTTTTCCTTATAAAACATGACCATTGCTTTATCACTGTTGATCTGAAGAGACTGCAAACGCAATGCCACCGACAGTATAAGGGCGCACCGGCTGCCAGTCGATGCGGTTGCCGGAGTTGTTGTCTGGGTTGCATTAATTGCCCCCACTGTCCGCGGCTTACCTCGTGGATGCTCATATAGATAGTCCCGGTGATATCATACAGGTGGAGTAACTTATCGCATGGCGGATGGATTTCGCCATGTGGCCGACATGCCAGGCCTCAACCCAGCCATGTTTGAGGATATTACCAATGACGGCAAGACGTCGCCGAGGGACGCCCAACCGTCCGTCGCTTGTTTACACGCCAGGCAGGTCCCGCCAGAGGCGTGTGGATAAGGACACAGTACTTGTTCACTCACATATTTTGTGCGCGCCTTGCATTGGTAGCTTCATCAGGAGTTCTCGCGGATCCGAGCAAACGAATACGAAGGGACTGGTAGATTGTCCGTTTGGGAACTAAGAAAAAGTGTAAAATACGGGCTTGTGAAAGAAAATCACGACAACGACTTACGGCCCACCCACCCTAAAATGCATCTTGAAATTTCGGTTAATTGCTAATGTGGGCTTGAGGCCTCGTGGACGAAAGCTGACCGGCCCTGAGTCTACACGGTAACATCACCTATCGCTTTCTGTTGCAATGTAAAGGTTGCAATTTAGGAGAATGATCTGCGTCTACGGGCTGACTAGTCTAAACTGGCTGATGACGGCTAATAAGCCAGAAATGGCCATTCCAGTCTCCCTTGTCTTTGTCGGTAATACCATTCTACCTACATCATGCGGCTGCTGGTTGGGTTCGAGAGAGCCCATAAGGCAAAACGGGACGAGTGAGTTCTGTAAGAACGGTCGACGAGCGTCCCTCTACCATTGTACATTCCCGATCGCAACCGACAGGACAACGAGCCCGTGGCTCAGTGGTTATAGGCGTGAACTTCTAACCAACAGGTCGCAAAGTCGAGCCCCAGGTGTCCCCCACACTTTGGGGTTGGGTATGACTGGCTGACGACGGCTAATAAGCCAGTAATGGCCATTCAAGTCTCCCTAGCCTTTGTCGGTAATACCATTCTGGTCTGGATGTCTGTTTAAGGGAAGAGGAAGTCTGCGTAAAATTCAGCAGACGGGGAGGGAAATTGTGATTGACCGAGGTCGCTAACGTGCGGTGTTCTGTCGACGACTACTGGAGTGGGAACAGTTGTGATTCACACAAATCATATCGCTTTGAGGTTTTTGCAAAACTCCGACTGCAGAGATGGAATTCGAGGGATTATGCCTTACGTCTTAGTAAAACAAATATTGCCCTTTAGGAAACCTAAACGGCTTAGTCCAACGCATGGATTCGCTATGAAGTGTCGGCTGGGGCGGTGTGTTTACGCGCAAGTTCAGAATTCGGGTAGATATGTCGTAATGCTACTAGGAAATCGGATGTTTTCTTTGAAGACGACGCAAAGGTAACAACGTACCATTAACAGACAGGGTAACGGGTTCGCACTACCGGGGGTCCATGGTTGATTCCTGGCGATGAAGGAGAATTTCTGTTGTAAATTAGACCATGCCCGCCCTCCCAGCAATTGGGGACTGTGCTTGAAAAGCACCAAGAACACAGCTCGACGACCTTATGCGTGCGAGGGAGCAGTTGGAAGACCGGGAAGACGCCCATTTCGACGATATTAAGGGCCGGTTGCAAAACACCCACAAATCTGATCAGGGGGGTGAGCTGGTTCCCTCTAGATCACCTCAAGATTTAACTGGAAGGAGGTGGCACAGGACGCACGTGAGCACCGAGGTGCGGCTGAACGGCTCTCGCTCACGTGACCTTGTCTGCTAGGGTAGTGCGCATCGCATTCTTGACTCAGTGGTCGTACTAAGCGCCGTGTCATGAATGATGTATGGAATGGCCACCTGCCTACGGTGGCTAGTTAGCAACGGGGGGCTGTGAAAGTGCAGTACTGATTCATCACATATAACCTTTGTCATACGGCGTCGGGTCATACTAAGCGACGTTCCATCGCCCCAAATTTCCAGGCCCTGCCCAAACAGCCCCTTAATGGTCGAGCTGGACAGTAACTTGGGTCGTCGTTTTGTTCAAACTTGAATTAGACCCTTTTCAAGACAGAAAACGGAACCTGGTCCCTTTGGCACATCCCGTCTACGCCCACTGACTTTCACCATGGTCGAGTGGTCACTCGACCATCTCGTCGCTACTAGTGCATTGTGGGTGCCCTTTTAAGTTTCGTGCGGGGAGCAGCCTTGACTATAATTCTCCCATAGGATGACTTGTGACTGTCAACGATGATGGCGATGACTAATCATCCGCCATTAGCTAAAAACCTTAGCAAGTGGAAACTTTCCGAACCTGACGGAGATCTATCCCCCTGTCAACGCTTTAGCCCTCAGGATCTAATAGAGTAGGTGGGCTAGCTCACGAAATGTTAACCGAAATGCGTTTTCGCTTCGAAAAAAGTAATTAAGTAGGTTTGCAAGACTAATCGTTATGCAGCGTAGTACTATAATAATTCAGTTACCCCAGGATGCCGGCTTTCGAGAGAAATTCTTTCTGACTGCATACAGAAACTATACTCTGTAAGAAATGACTACTTGAATGACATGCATTTTCCTCATTGATTTTCGATGCTCCTGAAAATTCAATTATATTTCATAGAAAACACGCATGGAAATATTCACTCTTTTGCTCATTCGGTAGAAAATTACGTCTTCCAATTTTATACTCGAAGGAAGGGTATAATTCAGTTTTAAGTTTCTAATTATGAGATTTTTTAATACCATGAAATGGCCGTCCATAAAACGTCATGTCTCTGCATTTACCAATGCGGCTTGTAAAGTCAACAATATGGCTCAAATCCATCGCTAAATTTCATGAAACCCATATGGTCTCCTCTTAATACCGTAGAGAAATTAACGGTTTTCCGTACGCAGAAAATATACGGCTTGTAGTTTGGAAACCCTGAGTGCAAGTGTAATCGCTGGTCGAGGTTCGAAATTATTCGGAAATTGGAAAAGTTTTTAAAAACCGAATTATACCCTTGAGTATAAAATTGGAAGAAGACGTAAGTTTCTACCGAGTAAGAGAATGAATATTTTTATGCATGTCTTCCATGAAATATAATTGACCTTTCAAGAGTATCGAGAATCAGTGAGAAAAATGCATACCACTTAAGAAGTAATTTTTTACAGAGTATACTTTTCGCATGCAGCTGGAAAGAAGTTCGTTCGAAAGTCGGCATCCTGAGGTAACTGAATTATTATTATTATAGAATTCCGCTGCACGACGATTAGTCTTACAACCCTACTTAATTAATTTTTTCGAAACGAAAGCGCATTTCGGAATTTCGGTTGACATTTCACGAGTTAGCCCACCTACTGTAATAATAATAATAATGCATTATAGAAGGACTGTGCAGATAGTCAAATTAGTCGAGAATATTCACAAGGTTTGATAAACTGTCGACAATGAAAACGAGGATAACAGGGTATTAATTTGGATGTGGCAGCTTACCCTGGCCCGGTACTCAGATTGCGGCAACACGTCATCGACGTTTACGCGACCGACGAGGCATCCGGTAGGGTAACTTTTCGGGAAATCACTTCGTTGGGCTCCTTTAAGAAAGCAAAATGGGATGGAATAAAAAAATTAAAATGACTAATCCGAAAGGTGGGCTGTTATTCCTGCGACAGCGGCAAGCGGACACACTCAGGGAAGAAACAGCTAACGCCCTGTGATTTGATGGCCCGGAGCAACTTACAAGACCTCCGCGCTCCCAAGGGCGCGTCTGTAAGATTCGAGGCCATTTGGCCAAGGCTGAGGTACAGTGTTGGTCTTCGGTAAACTACCGGTGTGCGCATCCAAACGCTGAGTTAGATTTATTAGTGAGAGAAAGTTGCAACACAGGGGTGACCACACTCACCCCTCCCATCATGGGCCAACGGCGAGTGCCGAACAACACGTCGGAAAAAGAGACCAGGCGACAGATGCGCAGCTTGAAGATGCACCAATCTTTCAAGGAAGGACCAGACGATTTACTGACCTCGACTCCAGACACCAAATTCTGTCGGTCATTACTGCTTGATAGTTGCACGGCTGTACCAACAGCGTACTATAGGTTTCCACTAGCCCAAATGCAAATTCAACAGCAGCAAAACGTCTTCGAAGACGAGGCGCACCTCTGTCGAGCGCCTGGGCAAATACTGAACGGTTGTGAGATGTGGTTCTGAACAGGAGTTCGGGCACGGATGCGGCCGGTACAATTTCTAGTCCTAAGTATCTGCTAGTGACCTACAATGAACACATCCCAGGGCTCCAGTCAAGTCAGCATCTACAATTTGGGTAGGATACCAGTTTGGTGGATTGTAGTTCGTGTGCGCGAGCAAAAAACTGCATGCGGCGCTCGCGTGGACTGAGTACAGCCGCAGTGTTCACACCCTATCCCCCCGTCGTTTTGATCTTGCCACTGGAACACGACTGGTGTGGTGGGAAAGAGATAATTTGGCGTGGAGCAAGTCTTCCCACTGTAATTTACGCGCAAATCACTACAGGACTTACAGGACACTGGCAGTTCTCGCTGAAAGTGTAGCGGAAACTACTACAGGAGCTGTCAGACGCAAAATGCGGTTATGATGAGGAAACATAATATGGGCGTACCGTAGCCTATGCATTCTTCCTCGACTGCCTGTATTTCGAAATCTTCGGGCACTTTGGCTGCAGCAGCTATCCACAGGGGACCGCGATGGGCGGAGTACCAGGTACGTCCTTCGTCTCTGAAAAAGACGATGCAAACTGCTACTGCCATCATCATCATCATCATCATCATCATCATCATCATCATCATCATCATCATCATCATCATCATCATCATCATCATCATCATCATCATCATCATCATCATCATCATCATCATCATCATCATCATCATCATCATCATCATCATCATCATCATCATCATCACCGTCGTCGTCGCTATTATCGACAGCACTGCCGCCGACAGTGCATTACGACAAAGCCGCAAGCGAGGGGTCAGAAACGGACAATGGGAAAAGCTGAGGAAACAGGTATGCAACGTACTTCTTTATGCCGCGCACCAGAAGTGAGGCCCATGGCTGATGCATGCTGAGGCAGAACCCACTGTCTACAAGTCGATTCTGCTCACTGTCTTGGACGCGGCCTACCGTGCTCTGTCCCTTGGCACCTCGTCTCCTGCCCTGAGTCGCCTGAGATTTGCCGTCAGCAGTGTCCGGACGTTGGGTCCCCGATTTCAAGTCACCTACAAACTGAAGGGGGGGGGGAAGCCAGAGCGTGAGACGGACGGGGGTGTGAGCGACCAAGAAAATTTAAGCTGCAGCAAGCTCGACCGAACAAAATATCCAAGTGAATACGGGAACACCTCCCGGCATGGCTGGGAAAAGGCGAAACGAGGAGCATAAGCAGCGCCATTCTCGCGCATGTTATCGATTCGGGATATCGCGTGGACCCCAACGAAACTTTTCGTGTGATCTATAAGGTCCCATCGAGCTACCCTGAGCTACTAGGCCAGCGCCTGTTAGCGACAGCGGAAGCGGCCGCCAATAGGTTACAAAAGCCAATCTTATGCGCGCAGAAGAACCACGTTCAGGCTCCGTGTCTACAATGGCCGAAGGTCGACTAACGGTGCAACTCTCCCCGCGCACTTCGGCTCTCACCCCGACCCTGACAGTGACTGCTATCACCCCCCCCCCTCCCCCACATTCCCACACCCAGCCTGTGTTTTAAGGCGAACTTTAATCGATTTATCTTATCATTGACGTGTTTTTACTTCTACCCCGTTCCCATATAACTGTACTGGCCCGACGAGAACTTATCAAAGCTACGTATGCTCGCCACCTCGTCTTCCGAACAAAATATGGTGACGGGATCGAAGAACGCGCGGTGGCAAGGCAGTTGGCGGACGAATACAGCAAGGTCTTTACCTGGCATTAAATCATGGTGAATTACCAGGACTAAGAAGTTTTAATTCTCTTCTGACAAGCGTTCTAAAACCTTATTCGAAGCAGCGACCTTGTGTCGCCAGATCATAAGAGTTGGATGAGGCGGGAACGTGGCGATCGGGAGCCATTTAAAAAACAGAACTAGAGAAATACTTCGGGCCAGGAAAAAGGAGACTGAGACGGCCATCCCTGACACATTTGCAGTCGCCAACTTGGTCGTACCAATACGCCAGATCAGGAAGTCACGGAATCCGAACTTGGCTCTAGCTGACATTTGAGATCAGCACCGAGCCGGCAAAGCTACAACCTCATGTCCTTTTTGGGCTGTGATGGGGACTGTTTAGTCGCGTAGATGCGGTCTTCACTAAGGTAGCCAGATTGAGGGAACTGTAGGATGATGCCCCAATGCAGGACGGGACACACATTCTCACGAATGGAAGAGAATAAGCGCACCCCAGGTTCATGTTTAAAAGAAGACGAAGGCACGAGCACTGGAACAGTAGTTTTATTGGCCTGAGCGTTCGAACTCGAACTGGAGTTTATCGTCAGAGACTGCTAGAGTGCAGCAACGTGTGAACATTTATGTCGTCGTTCCATGCGGGGGGGGGGGGCTACGTCTGGTTTGTGCCGCCTGTCCCCCGGCATGGTGACGTCGTTTGTGCTTCGCGAAGATGTGAGCTGCGCCACCTGGCTGCGTGGGCGGAGTGCGTGATAACACGCAGGCAAATCGATGTGTCTATTGATAGAGTTGGTGTCCGACACCCACGCCTCCAACAGTTCTCGTCCCGTCTTGTTGCCGGCTCGCGCCAATATCCGCGTGTTGGCGAAGTCGAACTCATGGCCTTCCTCCAGCGTGTGAGTGGCTACTTGAGGTAGTGGGTCGCCTCTCCGAACGGCCCGTTTGTTCTCATGGGTTCCCCAATATCCAGCCTAGTTGCGGAATTGGTCCTGCAAGAGCTGGAAAAGGTTGCTTTCAGCCACTACAAACCTGCATTTTGGCGCCGATACGTGGACGACATATTCGTCATTATTGAAAAGGAAAAGCTATCGGATTTTCAAGCTTTGCTTAACAGCATATTCCCTGACATTCAGTTTACAAGAGAAGACGAGGAGGACGAGAAACTACCCTTCCTTGACGTGCTCGTCACGCGCACACCTGACAGCAAACTCAGCACTACAGTGTACAGAAAGGCGACAAATAAAACTCAGGTCCTCAACTATCATAGCAACCACCCATTGGTGTACAAAGGGGGCTGTGTGAGGACGCTTTTCGACCGGGTAAAAACGCACTGTAGCGAGCCCGAAGGAAGAATGCAAGAACTACGGCATCTCCGGGACCAGTTAACAAAGAACGGCTACCCAAATAGTTTTATCACTGAATGATATTACCGACAAAGACAAGGGAGACTGGAATGGCCATTTCTGGCTTATAAGCCGTCGTCAGCCAGCCATACCCAAGCCCGAAGTGTGGAACACCCGAGCCTCGAACTCGCGACCGGTTAGTTAGAAGTCCACGCCTCTACCCACCGGGCCACGAGCCCGTTGCACAGCCAGGTGGCGCAGCTCACATCTTCGCGAAGCACAAACGACGTCACCATGCCGGGGGACAGGCGGCACAAACCAGACGTAGCCCCCCGCATGGAACGACGACATAAATGTTCACACGTTGCTGCACTCAAGCAGTCTCTGACGATAAACTCCAGTTCGAGTTCGAACGCTCAGGCCAATAAAACTACTGTCCCAGTGCTCGTGCCTTCGTCTTTTAAACTCACATCCTCTTTCGCGATCCACGCAAATCAATGTAGTATAACCCCCACACGGAGTCGATGGCGCAGAAAACGATCAGGGTGGTTTTGGTAGTCTTGTTGGTGTTGGTAGGGAAAACCGGAGGGTGAGAGAGAGAGAGAGAGCTTACTTGAGGAGTGGGAACATCGAGAAGAGGATCCGACAGGGGTAGGGAGGAGAAGCTGGTCGTCTTAGTGGCGTCCGGTTTCTGGGAAAGGACGTCCATTTCGGCCGAGTACAATGCCCGAGAAGCCTCCCCACGGGTGTCCTGTGTGAAAAAAGAGACAAAATTCTGTCATTGGAGATCGCGCGTGCAAAAGTGACGGTCACAGTCACGGCGGCATTCACTGAGCTATATACTGCTCGGGGTTGACTCTTTTTAACTACGATGACGGCATTATCGGTAAGGCACGAGAATAGGAAGACCCTGTAGTGCGGGTGGCTTTGCGCAGGATTCCGGGAAGGGTACCTATTCCTGTGTCCTAACCTTAACCCTAATCTCCCTGAGATTTGTCGCAAAACCACTTCTGTCAAGAGCGATGTCCCTGTTGCTCTGTTTCACCCCATTATCGCATAAAATGACGCTACTGGTAGTACTACTTGCTTGTAGAATGGGCATCACGCGGTTTTCCGCAGGAGTTGATCGGCATCGACCCGAAAACTCACTACAATTTCGGGGCTGATCATAAAATGACCTGTCTCGGGCGCATAACACTAAGTAGCTTGGAGCAAAAAAAATAGCACAATGTATGATATACACATTAAGAGCAGTGGATACAAACCAATAAGTTAATGATGCTGGTTTTGGTGCGATCCCCTCGGGTAGAATGGCGCATTGCGCACCAGCCTAGTCGGACTGGTACCCCGAAGACCCTTCGTCCTTCGAGAGGCTTTCTTGTTCTTGCATCTCGAACGGGAGCAGAAAATGACTCTGTTCAGGAAGCAAGTAATTACTAGGTGTGAGTTGGTGCAATCGGTCCGCTCAGTCTACTACAGAAATCCAATCCAAAGATAGGGGAGTGGTTGTGCCGTCTAGCATTTGCATAGAGTAGCCCGGATAGCTTAAGAGGAGAGAAGAGTGAGCACGGTTCTAAATGAACTGCCGAAATAGCAAGACGATGAGTAAGACGGTTAACTAACGGCTGAAGAGTGACAACCGTCCACGTTGAAGGTTGAAGACATCGTCAGAGAAGGTGCCGGCGTTGCACTACTGGTTATAATCACTTAGTTGACACTTGTACTGCATAGTCCCTGGCTAGTGAGTAATTTAATACCATTACCAAAATCCGTAAGACACGAGCGATTCCTAGGACCCTGCCGTTGAAAGGCCGTCTCTCCTAATCACAATCGGTAGCAGCTGTGCTCGTTCATCGCTGTTCTCTTCATCATCGATGACTCAATTCGCACCCGCATGATCTTCACTTACCTGTGACCCACACTGGTCCCGTCCACCTACCAGGGTTCGTTTCAAGTCGCTTATGCGTCCCCACTTGATAAAGGCTTCCTTCTGAGTTTAGATCGCGATATTAAGTGAGACAGCAGCCTATGACACACACACCTAGTCCTCATGGTCAAAAACGGTGTGTCATAAGGCGTTCGTACAAAATGAAGGCACATGTACCGCGAGACGGCGATGGGAAAGGAATCGAAGAGCAGAAAGCAAAGTATCACCTCCTCAAAGACACACTTGTTGGCGAAATCGATGCACAGACGTTGGGAGTCCAGACGGGAGGCGTGACGCTGGGCCCGCAGCTCCTCAACCCGCTTGGCCACGCGGGCACGCGTTTCGGGGTCCAGCCAGGCTGCAGCCGCACCGGAGCCCTCGCTGACGAAGTAGTCCAATTCGTCGTCTATGACACGCGTGCGTTGGGCAGTGGTGGCATCAAAGTGTAGCAGACGATCACGCTGTAGGATGGCTTTGACGAGACCTAGGTAGGAAAGCGTGAGTCACAGGATGAGACTAAAAGAGGAGGGGGGGGGCGGTGAGAAGGCAAGAAATGACCGAAAACACTAGCCATCTCCATCCTTAAGAGGCGCATACGAAGAAAGGCTTCAGTCTTTGCGACCTGCTACTAACGGGAATGATATTCGACGGGCTGACTTAATTTGAATTCGTGCAATGAATGCGGTCTAACTTTACTTTGATGAAATAAAAAGTTGGGAATGTGGCAGGCCACGGTTGGCACCGACAGAAACAAAAGCCACGAATCAAACATAAAAGTAGGCCGCCTGACATTACTATTCGCAATGGAGGCCAGGACTGAAGTAGACAACGACGACGACTGACAGTTCGGCCGTCGCCTCCAACGATGTCTATCGTGTGTTCCACAGCAAGGTGAAGCAGATATGGTGACTTGTGCGTAAATTAGTTTTTAGCATCTACCGCACTCTCTCATCCTTCCCCACCTGGACCTGATGTCAACACATAGTCAAGAAGACCGGAGGTGGGAGGGGGTGCATGTGGCTGGTACGGTCGAGCTCGCACCTTGACGCTCCACTCCACACCCCCTGGTCCACACAGCAAATTACCAGGTTTTTGACCAACAACAATGAAGGCGACAGGGTTCCCAGTGTACACCGGCAACTGGGTCTGTCACCGTACCTCGAAATGTTGGCATTTGTTATAGGTGCGCATCCCGGTAACGCCTGCCAGAATCCGACATGACCCCCTGGTGGTCCAGCGTATCTGCCACGTGGCCCCATTGGGGGACACTACGACGACGACCATCACCACATCCTTGAACAGGACTACATAAGCTGGCTGTGCGACGAAATGAGTCAGGAATTTAACCTAGCAGGCAACAAAATAGCCGCCCATGCCGGAGAAAAAACAGGCCGAGAATTGATTTTGAAGCGTGAGCCTCGGGTGAGAGCCCAGTCAATCGATTTATCGATCTTTACTTACACAATGTGGCTGTCATGAAAGAAAAGGTTCCCATTAGATGGATAGATGGCCTCCACGAAGTGGTAGCCTAGTTCACAACGACTCCGAATAAGACTCACAAACGGCTGCAAACATGATTTTGCCGCAAAACATTATCGAACATGATGAGTGGGATGAAGTTTGGACTCACCATCCTCTAAGCGTTTTTGTGCATCAGTTCCATGGTTCAAATTCTGCAGGAGATACTCGTCCTCGTAGTCCGTCTCGTCCTCAAAGTCTGTCCTCTCCAACCCCTCCTGCTCCTTTCGGGGCTCACTGTCTTCGGGTTCCTTTCTGTCGCAGTGGGAACCCGCTTCCATGCTGCTGTTGCCGCCGCCGCCGCCGCCACCACGCCTGTGGCGGACTCGCGGCTTGCCAGCACAGGGTGGGGTGGGTGTGCCCGGTGCCCATGGTGTTGAATTCAGTCGGTTGATTAGTTTGCGCCCAGCATTTGTCCCCGACTGCACAAGTTGGCGCTGTTCCGGTGTGAGCACTAGGGCGCCACAGAAGAAACAGGAGCCAGGACCCTCTTGATCACAGACAATGCGGCCACAGGAGGTGCAGTTACCGACCAACTGATGGCGCACGGCCAGACACTGACAGGGGTGTCGTCCGGGCAGACGAACTACCATGTGCTCGGTGACGGCACCACCCTCGTGGAAGAGCGGCACAAATTTCTTTCTGGGCTTCTCTGGCATTTAAAATCTGGAATATGTGGGGGAGGGTCAAAAAAGGCTTACTCAATACTGTGATACATCCAAGTAGGAAATATTCCAAGTCAATAGGTGAAGCGGGAGATGGCAAGACCCACCAAAGTGGGAGCGTTAAGCTGGGTTTCAGAGCTCTGTTGGTAATTTTAGTTGAAGCCACAGACAAAAGGAAAGTTGGAGGACGAAGAAAGGGCACTTAGGAGCTCAGTTCTTGATCGTGTCGTGCGTATGCGGAAATCAGGAAGGATAAGAAGACGGGGTCTTGTCTGTTGCCTTGGCTAAGCACTAACCGGTACGTCAGCGCGTAATTAACAGCCCTTCCCTGCCTGGAGTCGCTGAGAACTCGAAGCGTGAAGACCTGATGAACAAGCAGACTGCAAGGAACTCTGCAGCTAACGTAATTCGGCTAATGGAGATAAGGAGAGGCTGTGTTGGGTCTAGAAGATGAGACAGTCCTCTCACCACATCTACCATGACGACCAAAGACAAGTACATGAGCTGATTGCGTAAATGCGGACACAAGGCTACGAGGGAAAGATCATTTTGCCTAGGTCCTGGATGAGACAAACTCGGTCCCTTCTGCAGCCGTCCGGTTTGAAGAGGTCGCAACTACAAACCGGACTGCAAATCACCACTGACTGAGGTCTTTGAGGCGATAGTTCAGTTGACAGTGAACAAAAAATCAACGAGACTTCTTTGGCAGTAGTTGGTTGGCCGCTCCGTAGGCTGGGACGACACCATGGCCAATTCGATCTTCAAAAACGGCATTACATTCCCGTTTACGAACTACAGCGACACGGGTCTCCTTGATAGTACCGCGAAGGTCTTAGCAATCGTTATCTACAACCGTTTCAACCCTTGGCTCGACACACGGCTAGAGTCCGATATGCTGTCGTGAGTCTAATTGACCTACCTACCTCACAAAGGACTATCTTCGGGTGCACTTGTAACCAACAAAATCGAAAAAAACAGTTTTTCAATACATTTTGCTGACAGGTCAAAGAGCCAAGCTAGGGACCGAGCGCCTACTATGGAAAAAGTCATGGAACTTATAGAAAAGTGTAAAAACACAGTTGACGGAACGCACTTCAAGATGAATGACGTGCCGCCAACTGATCTCGGGGATGCAGCCGCGAAATGTTCGTTTATCGCTCTCATTCATTTCATCTCACAGTGTTGCTCCATTACGCATTTCAACTCCAACACGTCAATTAAAAGAGCTCTAATACGGAATGTTCTCTAGTTCTGATTTTGATGCCCGATCTTCGTTGATATCGCTCAGTCGTGGGCTTGTAGCGGATTGATTACGACAAACGCATAGTAAGTCTTCATGCATAGCAGTCAGTGGACTTGTGGGTGACCTCGCTGCCCTAGTTGGATTCAGGACGGCAAAGGACGTATCAAACTACCTCAGCTGTCCTGCTTGAATAGTCCGCGAAAAAATACAACGTTGGCGCAGTGACTGAACTATCTTATTCGAGACGAAATCGGTATGCTTCGCTCAGGATATCATCAGCAGACAATAATGTTCAAATGCCTCCGGCTTCGCCTGCCTTATGAGCACGGCCCAGCGTCCAAAATAGCACAGGACGATCTTTGTGGCGACGCAGGTATCACATCTGACAACCACTACTCCCTAAGCGGACCTCGTCTAGTCAGAGATTCAGCTAGGAAACAGTGGTCTCCGCAATGACCTGGACGGGACTAGGTGCGGATGTGGGCTCACTGAAGCAACTAAGCCAGATTCCAGGTCCGTTTCTAGGCGTTGATAAAGACTAAACTACCTTCCCACACAACTCGTCCTCGAAATAAACCGCATACGCCTTTG